AGGGGATGTCGGCGCTAACTCTTTCTGCTTCAGTTCCGGCATTGAAGCCAGCGGAATGCATTGACGGTTTTTGTCCATCAGCAACGCCAGCTCAGTACGCGATGTTCTTTGGCGGGCTGTATCTGATCGCCCTCGGAACTGGAGGAATCAAACCCTGCGTCTCATCCTTTGGTGCAGATCAGTTTGATGACACTGACTCGCGCGAACGAGTTAGAAAAGCTTCCTTCTTCAACTGGTTTTACTTCTCCATCAATATTGGAGCACTTGTGTCATCTAGTCTTCTTGTTTGGATTCAAGAGAATCGCGGGTGGGGTTTAGGGTTTGGGATACCAACCGTGTTCATGGGACTCGCCATTGTAAGTTTCTTCTTTGGCACACCGCTTTATAGGTTTCAGAAACCTGGAGGCAGCCCGATAACTCGGATTTCCCAAGTCGTGGTGGCCTCATTCCGGAAATCGACTGTCAAAGTTCCTGAAGATGCCACGCTTCTGTATGAAACACAAGACAAGAACTCAGCTATAGCTGGAAGTCGAAAAATCGAGCATACTGATGATTGCCAGTAAATCTCTTTACTTCGCTTCATTTTCTTTCTGGGATTATGTAGCTTTGCTTGGTTTACAGTTTAACACGATATGGTGCAGGTATCTCGATAAAGCCGCTGTTATCTCAGAAGAAGAATCGAAATCCGGAGATTTTTCCAACTCGTGGAGACTATGCACGGTAACGCAAGTCGAAGAACTCAAGATTCTGATCCGAATGTTCCCAATCTGGGCTTCCGGTATCGTTTTCTCAGCTGTCTATGCACAAATGTCCACAATGTTTGTTCAACAGGGCCGAGCCATGGACTGCAAAATCGGATCTTTCCAGCTACCTCCAGCAGCACTAGGGACTTTCGACACTGCTAGTGTCATCGTCTGGGTCCCTCTCTATGATCGGTTCATTGTCCCCTTAGCAAGACGGTTCACAGGAGTAGACAAAGGATTCACCGAGGTACAACGAATGGGAATCGGTCTCTTTGTCTCTGTTCTCTGTATGGCAGCTGCAGCCGTCGTTGAAATCATCCGTCTCCATGTAGCCCAAGAGCTCGGATTAGTCGAGAGTGGAGCCCCGGTTCCCATATCCGTCTTATGGCAGATTCCGCAGTATTTCATTCTCGGTGCAGCAGAAGTGTTTTACTTCATCGGGCAGCTCGAGTTCTTCTACGATCAATCTCCAGATGCAATGAGAAGCTTGTGCAGTGCCTTGGCTCTTTTGACGAATGCTCTTGGGAATTACTTGAGCTCGTTGATCCTAACGCTCGTGACTTATTTCACGACAAGGAACGGGGCACAAGGTTGGATATCGGATAATCTGAATTCGGGTCATCTCGATTACTTCTTCTGGCTTTTGGCTGGTCTTAGCCTTGTGAACATGGCAGTTTACTTCTTCTCTGCTGCTAAGTATAAACAGAAGAAAGCTTCGTAGAAATGACAATGGTGTTTTTCTCTCCTCCTTTCATTTACAGACAAAGTTTGTTTCTCTCAAGTGTAACTTGTCCAGAACTTACTACAACATTGCTGTGTACTTTTTTCTTACAATTTCAAAAGTTTAAAGTCACATTTGCAATATAATTATTCACATTTCACAATACTGGATAGGTATATGAAAGAGGTAAATTCACAATATTAATAAGAGATTTATTATATTATATACACTCAAAAACTTGAACTAACGAAGCTGGTCTACTTGAAATAGAGCTGGACAAGTTTCTTCAAGGTTTCAAACACACTTGTGAAAGGATCAAACTGCACTGATTTTCTCAAWCCAAGATCTGGAAACTGGTTTGTCAGCGTTTGCTCCATACCTGGCATAGACATCATGGCAGCAAGCTGACCATCAGACATCACTTCACAGTCCTGTGGAGTATCTTTTATTTTCTCCGGGTCATATCCAAATTGCGCTAAATAGTTCTTGTACTTAGCTATGAACTCAMGACCTGGATTCGGCGTCCTGGAATACACCTAACATATCAAACACAATGAAGTCATATAAGAGAWTGCTACATACATTCAAACCCAACATGAGTTACTTTTTCTTGAATCACCTGAACAAAGCCTTTATCTTTGGCTCCAGAAACAAGAGCGTAGTTGTCGTAGTCSGTAGCTATTACATCATAAGGTAACTTGGGAATGAAAGGAATCGTGGGAAATCGAAGGAAACARTTRTCTTTAATCATCTCTCTTTTTTCTAAATCAGTCTCGCTTTTCTCCAAATCTTCCGCACCAACGCATTGAACTTTTCCTCTGATTCCTGTTATATACCCATCAGGACTACCATGAACACAAAATGTATCTACTTTGATAGCTCCTTCCTTCATATCAAACGAGTATACGCCCTGCAACAACGGGGTGAAAAAGTAGTTTATGAATATTTCTTAWTTCTAAATGAACTCAAAGATTGTTTTATTTGTTCTTCTCTATGTACCTGAGTACAATGACAGTCTTCTTGGCCTTGACCAGCGAATCCACGTTTAAGAGAAGCTACTTCAAACCATCTCCCAGAGTACTTCACCGGGTCAAAGTTCTTAGCAGTCATGCCTCTCATCATCATCATGGCTTCCGAGTCACCATCAGATGTATTTTCAAGTGGAAGATCCAATGCAACACCCTGTCCCAAAGGAAAACTCAATAACTGATTTCGTATGCAATCGAATAGGCTAAAAATCGCAGTGTCATCATACCTGGCCTGTCTGAGAGAGAAGCAAAATGGCTGCAAAACCTGAGACAAATTGCTTTTTTAAATCCAAGGAACATTTTAACTCGGGCTTCTTCAGTAACCCTCTG